CCAAAGGCACCCGTGTCCCCGTGAACCCCTCAGCTCCCTTCAGGGTCACCCAGTAGTGCCAGGGTTCCCACCCATCCTCAGAGCACTCACGTGTCCATCCGCTGACGTTGTGTGCCGCTGCCTGGTACGGTCCAGCTATGGCACTGACCTCCAGGGAGTACTCGTATCCCGGGGCCAGGCCCAGGAAGGTGAAGTTGTGGGTGTCTCTTGCAAGCGAGGCCGTTGCCACCGCAGTGCCCAGTCCCACGTGGTACAGTGTCAGCGCGTAGCTGTCTCGCTCCCCGGCTGCAGCCCTCCAGGATGCTCTCAGCCTGTCCGAGTGCCCCGTGCTCAGAAAGTGCACGGCTGCAGGGGGCAGGGGGCCTGCGGAGGAAGCAGGAGTCATTGCCTGGAGCCATGCCTGAGCTGAGGGGAAGGCAGATGTCCCATTTCCATAATTTCCATAGCAAGTCCCTTGTGCTGCAGTCAGTGGCTCAGCCCTACAAGGTCCCCAAGACTGGCTTTGTCCTTACCTCTGTGGCAACTGTCTCTGGGGACTCCCTGCTTCCCCAGTGCTGCCTGTGTCCCAGCCGTCCCTTTCCTCAGTGGCTACTTCAGAAGCAGTTGGCCAGGCCACAGGGTCCAACACAGTTTCTCTATGCTGCACACAACACATGGTGAGCACAGAATGTTTGTGTGGGTGAGGAGAAGGCAGGGATCTGGCTGGATCAGTATGTCCTCTGATTTGAATAGGGAGACTTGGTGGAAGACACCTGGCTGCATCATACTCACGTGTGCAGTGGGTGAGGTTGAGGGTGGCGGCGTGGTAGGGCCCAGCTGTGGCCCTCACTGCCACGCTGTAGCGAGTGCCGGGGCTCAGGTTGCTGAAGGTGTGAGTCCTGGTGTGCCTTCTCAGCACCATGTGCCCAACACGGCCGCTGGAGGCTGTGTCGTAGAGATCTACCACGTAGCCGTCTGCTCCCTGCTCCACTGCCGCCCAGGAGGCCTGCAGCGTGGAGGCAGAGGGACTGCTCAGGGTGAGGTTGGATGGGGCCAATGGATCTGGAAGACAAGAGGGTAATAGTCAACCCCTGCATGTGCCACCTCTTCCTCCTGATTGTGCTTGGCTGCTTTGCCAAGTGGCTCCTTGCACTCCAGCAATACTACAGGCTGGATCCCAGCTCCATGCTCCTGCAGGACAGCAGGCAAGAGGGCAGGCAGTGCACATGACTCCAAGGACAATATCCTTGGGACAAGAGCCAATATCCTTTAGGACACGAGGCAATGGTCACACATCCAAGCACAAGAAGTTTCACTTGAATTTGAGGAAGAATTTCTTGACTGTGAGGATGACAGAGCACTGGAATAAGTAAGTTGCCCAGAGAGGTTGTGGAGTCTCCTTTGAAGATATTCCAAACCCGCCTGTGCAACATGTTCTAAGTGACCCTGCTTGAACAGGGTGGGTGAACTAGATGATCTCCAAAGGTCCATGCCAGTCCTAATCATTCTGTGATTCTGTGACTGTAGATGTGCAAGATAAACCTGGTACTCAGTATCTTTGGGGTAGATGGACAGACTGGCCAAATATGGGGCTTAGAGTGGGGACAGTGACCTAGAAAATAGATTGAGTGTGCAGAAGCACTTTGGGGATGGTTTGGGATGGGGAATTGGTGAGTAGGGATGCTCTTGAAGATTCACATAGTGGCTCTGGAGCAGAAGAAAATGCTGTACCCCTCCCATCAGACTTACATGTCCATTGGGTGACATTTTCAGAGGAAGCTTCAAATGGGCCTTTCACAGCAGTGACCTGCACAGCAAACCTGCTGCCTGCCTCCAGGTGAGTCCAGGTAACATTCTGAGCATCTGGTCTCAATGTCTGGACCCTCTCCTTGCTTCGAGAGGTAAGGCTATATATGTTAACACGATAGTGGTCCCTTCTGCCAGGGGGCTTGTTCCAGAACGCGTGAAGCTCTGAGGAGCTGCCTGGGTTGGTAAGGCTCAAGTTTGTTGGAGCAGCAGGAACTGCAAGAAAAGACACAGACGTGAGTCAGAGAGAGAAAAACATGTAGCCATTTCTGCCTTGCTTTCCCCCGGGCAACAAACAGCATCAGGCAAGTCAGTGATTTCATGCCCAGTGATGGTGTGGAAGAAGGCTGTAAGAGGCAGAAAATGACTGCAGATCATCATCACCCGGAATGAGGCCAGAGGGCTCCTCTCTCTGGATGGAAAACAACATTCCCCATTCCCTTCTACAGCTCCTTGAAACCCTCCCACCTGGAGTCACGCGACTGCGGTGTGGGTGCTCACCTGTACAGCCAGTGACATTCTTGGGGAGGGAGCGGTGAAGTCCAGCTACAGCCCAGATCTCAACAAGGTAGCAAGTTCCTGGTGCCAGCTGTGTCAGGGTGATGTTGGTGCTGTCTTTTCCCACATGCAGGTTCCTTGCTGGTGAAGAGGAGCCCTCCTCATGCATGCTGAGCAGATATCCATCCCTCTGACCAGGTGGAGTCTCCCAGAACACAGCCAGAGCCCAGGAAGTGCTGACAGGGATTGCTGACAGTGAGAGAAGAGGCAGTGGGACTGTGGGAGAGAAACAGTGTTATAGTGGACAAATCTTGGTCTGCCAAGGACTGAAGGTAGCTTGGGTGTGAAATGAAGCTGCAGGACGGTGAACCTCTACGACACTATCTAAAGAGTGCTGAGGGCAGTGGGGTGCTTGCAGATGAAAGCTGCTCCCTGTGTCCTACGCGGCAGCAGTAAGTTGCAACCACAGCCTGAGACCTCAAAGCACTGGGTCAGGTATGGCAGTTCACCCCATGGAGCTGGTGGGCTCAAGGTGAGCTCTTCATGCAGTGAGAGTCCCCAAAACAGCCAGCACGCTGAGTATGACAGACACTGGTGGGGTAGCAGGGGTGTGGGCTGAGGGCCCTCCCGCAGAACTATTCTCTTGGCTCCCAGATCCTCACCAAGTCAGCCAGGATGGTACCGGGATGTTGCAGAACAGCCCCATTCCTACCAGTGTAGCCGATGACAGTCTGGGAGGAGCTGCGATGAGGCCCAGCCTGTGAGAAGATCTCCACACGGTATCGGGACCCTGGCACCAGCCCCTGCAGGTCAATGTGGTTGACTCCACGAGGAACAGACACATTCCTGATGATTGATAGGGATTCAGCCACTGAGAGCTGTACGAAGTGCTCTCTGCCACCACCTGACTCCACCCAGCTCACATGCAGCTCCTGGGGTCTCCGGCCGGGCTGTACGCTAACGTTAGCCAGGGATAAGGGATCTAGGAGGAAACACAGCATAGGGATCCATGAGATGGCAGAGAAAAGCCATGGGGAAAGGCAGGACCCAGCCTGCATCTCTGTCACCAGGCTAAAGGACAAGCTCCCACTAGAGCCCTCCTGCCTGCAGAGATGGCTTGGCTGTGTCTGTGTCACTGCGACGCAGTGCCCTGTCCCTGCAGCAGGCACCTTCACTCACATGTCCACTCGGTTGCAAAGTGGGAGGAAGATCTGTAGGGACCAGCAAGGACGGTCACCTTCAGGAAGTATTGAATTCCAGGGGCCAGATCCAGGAATGTGAAATTCTGTGTTTTTGGCCCCACGGTGATGTTCCTTTGTGCTGGCAGGTTCTTGCTGTAGAGCTGGAGGTGAAGCTGGTCCGCATCACCAGCAGGCTTGTCCCAGAAGGCAGAGAGCCCCAGTGGGCGTCTAGTATTGGTCAGGGTCACACCAGACAGAGCCATAGGATCTGAGAAAGAAGATACATTTGGGCAGTGAGAAGCAGCCCTCGTGGAGCTGCTGCAGCGTGGAGGTGGGAGCTGCTGCCTGGTGACGTGGTGTCGTGTTGACTCAGGGGGCAGGGTTATGACCCCCATATCTGCCCTTGGATCAGTTTAACTCCTTGTTCCAGAGGCAGAACATCAGGGGGAAGTTGGACAGTGCAGAGCTGTCTGCAGAAAGGGTTGTATGTTTGCAGCTCCTTGTCCTGGGCACCCTGGACTCCTTCTTCCTGGTCACATTAGGTTAGACATTGGTGCTGGTATATCAAACCCCAAGAATAGCCTAGACTTCCACTTTGCAACACACATCGCACCTGGTTCCCTTCTTTCTGGGTGACATTTGGAAACATTTGACATTCAGCGATGGGTTTCTCCTGCACTGAACACCCTTTTGTTTCCCACCTGGCTGAATGTGGCTCTGCTTGTCCTTCCATTCTTCCTTCCTCTGCCAACCATCCCTATTTCCAGTTCTCCAATCTGCTCTAACTCCATGCTGAAAACTCTCTGCTCTTTTTAGCCAGATTATGATTGCAATTTGCAATAGGGTTGGGTTTGGAATGCTGCCCTTCTCGGTGGGGGTAATGCACTCACATGTCCAGTCTGTTGCTGATCGCATGGGGGATTTGTAAGGCCCAGCCGTGGCAACCATTTCCAGGGTATACTGTCGCCCAGGGACAAGATCCTCAAAGGTGACGTTTGTCACGCCGTTTCCTGTTGTCATGTTCCTGATGCGTCTCTGGGATTTAGTCTCCCAGAGAGTACCAGCGTAGGCAGTGCTGCTGGCAGAAGCTGCTTTCCAGGAAGCTTGTAGAGAAGTGCTGAGACCGTGATTGCTGAGGGTCAGCTGCTCTGGAGGCAAAGGATCTAGGAAAGGCAAAGTCTAGAGTCACAGCTACAGTTAGACTGGGGCCACTTGGCAGAGCCTCGATGTGCTGGGGTGAAGGTCTTTCCCCAGAAAAAAAACCACTCTGGGAAGTCCAAGCTCTTGGGCTTCCTGTGGGATCTGAACAGGTCACCATCACCCCTTCTAAACTCCACACACCGGTGAGGGTGTTGGTGGGTAGTTACATTCCCAAAGTACCAAGGGCTGGGGCAGCACTGGGTCCAATATAGCATGGGAAAAGAGGGCTGCTGAGACATGACACCCCTGGGAAGGGCAGAATCCACCTGGAACCCAGGGGCTGTGTGGGGTGAGGGCTGTCGTACTCACACGTCCAGTTGGTGATGCGCTGAGGTGCAGAGGTGTAAGGGCCAGCCACAGTGCTGATCTCAAAGCTATAGAGGGTTCCAGGGCGAAGACCCTCATAGGTGAAGTTGGTGACACCTCTGAGAAGGGAGCTCTTCTTCACGGGGAGCTCCATGGTATGGAGGGCCAGAACGTACGCCTCTCCCATTGCCTCTTCCCACTGGGCTAGCAGGCTGGAGGAGCTACCCTGGTTGCAGAGGCTCACGCTGGATGGTGGCAGTGGCTCTAAAAGGACAAAGATGGGATCACGCATGTCACTGGGGCAGTGCATGAGGCAGATAGCTTCCTCTCATGGCAGTGTGTGGTGGTCTCCTCCGCCAAGCACAGGCAGCCAGCGTTGCAAGGAGGCCACTTCACTGTTCTGAGGGCCAAGGGCTGGGTGAGGCCCTCCCCACTCTCTGCTCCCTGCTTCTAGTCCTGCCCCAGTCATTGCGTCCCAGGTTGGCAGCCTTGGGAAAACCAGATGGGAACTGACTGTGACTTTAAGCTTCACTCAGGAGATATTTGGTCTGCAAAGGCCCTTGAAATCGACAGTTCGGGACCACCCATAGTGTGGAAGGTTTTGCCATTCTGATCTACACCTGTTTGTGAGGCCAGAGGCATCATGTTGCACAACTCCTTCTCTGTCAGGTGCTGAGATCATCCCTTTCCCTTCCCCTTGGGATCCCCTTTGGGCATCAGTATTGGAGAATTTGGCTCCTCTGTAGAGTGGCAGAAATGGCCTCAAAAAGGCATTTTTAGACTTTCTGCTTACTTGTCCAGGCAGCTGTGCTGTATTCAGAAGCCCGGTAAGGTCCAGCCACTGCTGTCACCTGGACAGAATATTGCTTCCCAGGGTTCAGCCCATGGAAGGTGACATGACTGCTGTCTCCTCCAACGGAGATGTTCCTGGTCGGAGCACCATCCTCTCCCTCCTGCAGGGTCACCAGATAAAAGTCTCTCTCTCCTGCCGGGGTGTTCCAGCGAGCCTGCAAGGAGCTCTGCTCCTCCACGCTGCTCAGGGTCACATTGCCAGGGCTCAGCGGGTCTGGAAGGGAAGGGGACAATGTTGCGTGTGTCAGGATTAGAGGGTGCTCTGAACCTCAACCTCGCAGGGTTTGCTTTGTGTAAGGACTGCCTACCAGCACGGAGGTCCTTAGTTGCAAGACCACTACAAGCCTGGTTTAAACACTCCATTGGAGTGTGCTGTTTTCATTCCCAGTGCAACCATTCCTGGTCCATGGAGCTTAGATCAGCTTGGCAGCCCTGCTGGGAAATTCCTAAAGGCCCGTCTCATCTCCATTTGTGTCCTGTCAAGAGTTTGCTGATGTTCCTGGGAACTAGCCTGGATTGAACTGCTGGCTGCTCCCAGCTTTTGTGTCTGGCACCAAGGACATTTTTTTTTCGGTTGGGTAAATCAGAGCCACGACAATAACTGTGGGGATGTAGTCGGAGCCACTTCATAGCAGAAACAAACCAGCTGGGGGTGGGGAGACCTTCCAAAATCACAGCTGCAGAATTAGCAGTGAGCAGGCTCCAGGCCACAGCTTCCTGGACTAACAGGCCGAACAGGAAAGTGCTGGAGACTTGCTATCTTGTGGCTCCCAGGTCCTCAGATTTTTGTGTACACCTGGCAATGACCAAGCTGAGTCACTGGGCAGAGCAGATCTGGGTTTTCAGTTTGACATCTCCGTATTTTGCTGCTCTCCCCTACAGAAGGCCAATGTTTTCTTTGCTTTCAGCCGGAATCCAGTACTATCTGAGAGGCTGTGTTTGCTCTCTTCATTTTACCCGTGAGGAGGTCTGGGAAATGAGTCTGCAGCAAGAACTGTTCACGGTGTAACAGACACCGTGTTGGCAGCAAACCAAGAAGGTGGTGATGGAAGTTTACCTTTCTCAGAGTCGTCATCAACCAGAGGTCAGAAGGTGAGGGAAAAGGGGGCAGTTGAATGGGGCAACTAGTTGGGTGTCTGGGAGTGCTACCCTCTTTTTCTCACCTGCTGGAGACCGCTTTCCAGCTGCATCTTGTCCCTCTGTTCCCTTCTTGATTGCTGTCTCTGTCTTCCTTCAAAGTCTGTGTTGCAGCCCTGTTTCTGCCCGTGGTTCCAGGGAACTTGGTGCTCCTGTTCCTCTGGGGCACTCTCCTGCTTGTCCCAGCCTCACAGGCTGCCCACTGTTCCTGGTCCTCCTCCTTCCCCTTTCCCCTTGTCTGTTATCTCAGAGCCCCAGAGGTAGGTTCTGGAGTAACTTCAAATAGAATTGCCCTTTGCACCTAGAGCTCTTGTAGGAAACTTTTACATTCAAAGTCTGGACAAAAAGCAACAGAGACAGACAGAGTCTCCAAGGCAGAGTCTCAGATCTTCATTTGAGAGTAGTAGGTTGCTACACTTTTGTATTTTTTTCCCAGAAGGACAAAGAGGGCTTTGCATAAACAGCAGGCTCCAGGACCAGGGGGATTTGAGGGTATCATCCACTCTCAAGGGACTGGCCACACTGTCCTCTCCCCTGAGCCCTTGGTTCGCCCTGTTCTGAGCCTAAAGGCAGATCCACGGTCACCGAGGTCCCCTTCCCTAACCAAGTACGCTATACTCACATGTCCAAGCCGTGGCATTCGGCCCCATTGCGGTGTAAGGCCCAGCCATGGCACTGAGACCCAAGCAGTACTGGGTGCCAGCATGGAGGTGCTGGAAGGTGTAGTTGGTGAGGCCTCTCTTGGCTGACAGGGTCTTGGTCACCGTTTGGGTGAGCAGGTTGCGGAGCGTGAGGTGCAGCCAGGCAGCTCCATCAGCACCAGCCCAGGAGGCAACGAGGCTGGTGCTGGACCCTGGGGTGAGCATTAGCTGTGTGGGGATGGAGGGTGCTGCAAGGAAAAGCAGGAGGCAGTGAGTCAGCATTGGCAGAAGTGTGAGGGCTCCAAGGACCCTTATCCCTCCCCAGGGTCTTCTCTACCCATAGCTACTTTACATGCTAGTCCAAGGACTGAAGGTCTGGCTGGGTTTTGCTGCAGCCTTTCTCTCCTGTATCCCTTCTCAGGCAAGCTGAAATGGTCTTGGGGTCCCTCCCTACTTCCATATTTTCTTGGGTCCCAGGGCAGAGGAAGGTGGCAGTCGGGATAACACAACATTCCTGCAGCTCCCACCAGCCAAGACCTTTTGCCAAGATCCCCATGCTGCTCCTCTCCCATGGGGACATAGAGGAGAGAAGCTTGTTCTTCAAAACGAGGATGGAGGTGTGAGGTCCATCCCCTTGGCTTGACAAATTGGGCAAAGGTGGCCCTCATCACATCCCTCAGCTTACAGTAGGAACGTGAAAATTTTCCAGCTGCTTCCCAGCCCATGCACACTTCCCATCCTGTGTCTGGAATCTTCCTCCCCCTCTCTGCCAGCCCGGTTGGCACGTGTGCTGGATTTCTCCTACCAAAGCCATTCTAAACTCTACCTCTTCCCTCCCTCATGCCCTGGGCCAGCACACCCATCCCTCCCTACCTGTCCACTGGTGGATGCTGGTGCTGGCCTGGCTGGCTCCAGACAGCGTGCTGACTTTCAAGGCATACTCACTGCCAGCCATCAACCCGTCAAACAGGAATGTGGTGGCGTTGGGCAGGACAGATGCATTTCTCACGAGCGTCTGCGAGTCGCTGTGGTACAGGGCAAGGTGGTAGCCGTCCAGCTGCCCGCTGGCCTGTTCCCAGGAGGCATGCAGCACAGTGGAGCTCCCATCACTGCTCAGGCTCAGGTTGTGGACGGGTGAAGGACCTAGGCATGGCACAGACAGGATTTGCTCATTGCCTTGGTATGCCTGATCAGCCAGCATGCGTGGGAGCTAGTGGGAGCCTGGCAGCTTCCCTGGTCTCCCATGGGTGTCAGATCAGATTCTGCACAGTCACTTCAGAGTGGGCAGGGAAGCTCTGCCAGGCACAACATGCTGGATGTGCACTGAGAAAGGCAAGGACATCAACACGTGCCTCCAAGCTCACCCAGTGCTAGGGCCCTCCTTTCTTCCTGGCCCTGTGGATACTGCCAAATGCCCTACTATAAGCCCTCATCTCCTCACACGGATTCCCAGTCACTATTGCAGTCTAACTCCATTCACTGTGCATCCTTTCTCCCAGCCAAGCCCTTGCCTTTGCCCTGCCCTCCTTAGCAGACTTTCTACCTTCACCTGCAGCAATTTACTCAAGATTCTTTTGGAGAGAAGCAGGCAATGGCTGATGTCCTCACCTGAGCTGTGGGTTCATCAGCCCTGCTCTTTCCCCAGTCCCTTGACATGAGCCAGAAAAGGCCAAAAGCAAAGATTGCTGGACAAACAGGTGATTACCAGAGGTGTGCCAAAATTGTGGAAGGGACACAACTTCCTGGTATTTCTTTCTGGTTCTCCAAGAATGACCCTTTCCATCCCTTAGCTTTTTGCAGGGTCCACATCATGGTTTGGTTCATTACTTGTCGCATTATTCCAGGAGAAATATGGCCTGGCCAGCACAAAGTGCAGGGGCAGGACCCTCCCTTCTCATGAATAAGAGAACAATTTCTACCCATGGGCTCTGGGGATCAGGAAAGGACCCAACTGACAGAGAAGTGAAGAATAAGCCAACCACCCCACAGATTCACAGGTTTCCACACAGTCCTGAACTTTGCACCCTCCATTGGATAGGATAGGATAGGATAGTGAAAGGATAAGGTGGAGTACTTAGACGCATTGACTTTGCAGTCCCTGAGGAATCTCTTACTTGTCTGTCCTGTGACTGTCTGGCTGATGATGTCCATGCAGGCAAGAGTAGCTGTCACCTCAACCCTGTAGTACGTGCCAGGTGTCAGCCCATGGAACCAGAAACTGGTGCTGTTGGGTCCAATTGAGCTGTTCTGCAGCAGCTTGTCCGGCCTCAGGGAAGAGAGGACAAGTGCATATCCCAGAACACTTCCCTTCGGCTCATCCCAGGATAGGAGGAGAGAGTCCGAGCGGCCGTGGTCACTTATGCTGAGGTTCAGAAGGGTCCCTGTAGGGGTAAAGCCAAAATCCTCATCAGGGAGCTGTGGTGCTGCTGCATCCAACAGAGATACGGTGGATACCCAGGGTGTGGGGCCAGGCTTTCCAGCCCACCAACCTTCTCTGCACTTCTTGGCACAGGCCCACTGGGTCCTGACGCACTGTAGTCAGACATCCCTGACCCTACGTTCTCAACAGCATTTGTAACACAAGAGTGTTTGAAAACCCTTTAGAGTGAAGGTCAAAGGCACTGCCTGAAACAGGCTCTCTTAAGCATACAGTATCTCTTCTAGTCGACAAAAAGGCTTCCAATTTCAAGCCATTCTGTTCTCAGACAGCCCCAAGTTTGTGGCAGAAATACTGTCTTTTATGGTTCTAATCCATTGCTTGTCATCTTATGGTATTTCCTTGGTTGGTATGGGCTCCCCGAAAATGTCAAAGGACTCTGGACCCAGCTGCAGGGGCAAAACAAGGTCTTCATGAGAACAGGATGGATATGGCAGTAGGGCAGTTACTCTCCCTTCAGCAGTACCTTCTCCGTGAGCCCTGACACGGGAGGTCTGAAGGACATGGGAGATCTGAAGGTCCCCTTGAGGGACCCAGGCACTGACACCAGAGAAGAGCAGAAAGGTTTCTGGGGCTGGACAAGGGAGATTGTTTCTGAACTCATAGCCAGACTGGGATTGCCCATATAGCAACCTTGGTCCCTGCAGCATGTGGATGAACCAGACCCACTGCCAGGGAACAACAAACCTGGGACGTATCCTGCACTTGGCTTCACCACAGCTCAGAGAGGGTCTCCCAGTGCAGGACATTCAGTGCTGCAGTGGCATCGTCAGCGTGCTGTGGCTGCAGGGCCAGCATTGTGGCATTCAGACAGAGAGCGTATGGAAATGGGAAGTGGCATATAGGGATCTGTCTAATTTGTGGGGCAGTGGCCAAAAATACCATTGGATCCCTGCCCTTGGAATTACTCAGGGGCTGCCTACACAAAAAGGAACGAGACAGATCCTGTCTGTTAGGACCAAATCAGCAAGGTGATGCCTCCACACATCATGTCTACCCCCTGTATGCTTCTATGTTGCCTTGCTATATGGTCAACCACACTCCCAAAGCCCCGATGGGGACCACTCTGTTGGCAGATTGTCCCCCATGCTCCACTCCTCGATATTGTTAACTACATTCTTTCTATTGATTTCAGCCTTCGGGAAGTATCATAGATAATCTGCAGCTCTACTGCTAATAAGACATTTGTGCGTAATTAGTACTTAAAATTTATGATGTGCAATGTGTTGTAACAGCCTCAGATGTGATCTGGGAGGACAAGAAAGCTTTAAACCAGCACAGCCATTGCCCCAAAGGCATTCCAGGGGCTGTCTTTATGCAGCGGAGGGACAGCAGTGTGGTCCTTGGGTCAGGTACACCGTCCGAACTGTTCAGGTGTTTTGTGTAGGTTTCCTGCAAAGCTGGAGTGGCCTGAGCTCTCCTAACTATATATTATTTCTGTTTCATGTAGTGCTGTTACAGTGCAAAGAGAATAAGGATAACTAGATAGACTGCCAAAAAGGAAGCAAAGGGGGACAGATTCCCAAAAACACCTTCTGAGAGGTGATGCTGAGCTGAGGGCATCTCTTCCCAAAGGCATCCATATAAACTGTGCCTGGCACAGAGTTTGAGCAGTGTTAGAGAGGTCAGGATGCTTTTCCACTGTGGGATCTTTCTTGTCTCCTGAAGGTTAAAGTTCTCCATCCATGTTTGTCTGCTGGTCCTATTTTCCCAATAAACTGAGTAGCCTTCCTCTATTTGCCATTTCCCAGTCATCTTCGCTTCTCTGGTAAAACTATACGAATGCCTAAAACAGTCCAGGCACACTGTCCAGCCCCGAGACCTACAGCCATAATCCTGCTCATGTAACCGTAGCTGAGTTCTGTTAATCATATTCACAGATGGCCACATCCAGGCACATTCAGTGCCCTACATGTTGCCTATGCATCTTCTGGGACATCACGGGCCACAGCTGTGCTGGGGATGCCTTTTCCACCTTCTACATTCTGCCCTCTGTGGAGTTCATCTCTACTGGGAGAAACAAGGCTTTTCCCAAGCCCTCCCGGGAAACCGGGTCCCCTGGTCATAATCAGCTTCGACAGGCAGTGAGTCCAAAGCAACATATTTACCAAGCTGCTCTTAGGTCCGAAAGTCCTAGCCCAGCAAAACTGTTTGTCCGCCAGTTTCTGGGCACCAAGACCACCCTCCACATCCTAGGTAGTACCTTGTTTACCTCATCTTTGACTTACCTCTATCACTCGGTGCATCCTGTCCTTCCAACCCTGCCGATGCTGTCTGATTGCATCTCTCGCCCTAGGGGATTGAGGTCATCGAAAGAGAGAGGGGTAAGGTGAGATGGTCCATGCTGAGGCTAAAGGACAGGTGACCTATGCCAGGCCAGGTCAGGATGCCTGGGCAGAGGTTCCACCCAGTCGTGACATCTGGGCACATGGCCTGGTCTTCCCAGGGTAGCATAGGCCTCCAGTGACTGCCCTCCCCTAGCTAAAGCAGGGAGACAGGGGCAGCTTTTGGGATGTCTTGGTTTTCAGACACGCATGGAGCAACTGCCCCTGGTGAGAGACATCAAAATTATCAGGGGAAGATCTGGGCAGGGAGTGAGCTCAGGATAGGTCATAACAATCTCATCCCCTGTACAGCATTCCCAGACCCCTTTCCCACAGCCATGTAGAGGGATGGAAGGAACCCAGAACTCAGTCCATTGCCATCCTCTGCAGGCTGCCAAGCAAGGCTTGGCCTGACAGGTTCAGAGCTTCCAGCACCCTCCTCTCTCAGGGAGTTTGCTGGGTGCTGAGCAAACTTTGGGGACACCCACAGCCTGCCAGCAAGCAGTGCGAGCAGGGCGTGCTCCGCCTTCAGCTGCGGTGAGCTCCCTCCACATTAAAGGAAATATCTCCATCCGCTCCGTGTCCAGCAACAAGCCGCAGAGGAACACTCATCTTGCTGTAGTTAATTCTCTCTCGGCTCTGCTGTCTGACTCATTTCTGGCTCCTCCACCAACTGCCTTTGGGAGCGTGTGTGTGGAGGGGAGCGAGGGGGACCCGGACCCCCTGGGAATAGCAGCCAGCCAATTCCTGGGATGAGGAGTCGCGGAGCCATGGCAGCAGCAACGAGCTCTGATCTCAGGCGCTGGGGCGGGAGGGCATAGTGGGTGGGGGGAAGCAGAGGAAAGACTCAGCTTGTAATTGCAAACGTTGCTAATTTGATGCAGCTGCGTGGCTGGAGAGCCAGCCCAGAAACATGCCGTCATTCCTCAGTGGGGTAAGACTATGCAAGCCCCTTACTGCCAGTGAATGCAGAGCCAAGACCCTGCGTGGACAAGCGAGGGGTTCAAGAGACAAGGGCTTACCTCTGCCTGGGTTCCCAGGTGCCACAGGACGAGCAACGGCAGCAGCAGTAGTTGCATTGGCACTGGGGCAGCTGCAGGATGAAGAAAGAGCAAGTTGGGCGCAGATTCTCAGTGGTGCCTGTCCCCTGCTAGCCCCCGATCCCATTGCATGGAGGAGCTGCGTCCCCACGTGCTTCCCGAGCTCAAGTGACAGGGTGACATCAGTGGGCGCCGGCGCTGCGTGCCAGCACGCTGCACATCGCCAGCCTCGCCAGCTGGCCCTGGGGAGGAGCGGAGCGCGCCTCCGGGCTGGGAGAAGTCCAGTGCGTGCGTGTGCGCGCGTCTCCTTGCGAGCATTTGCTGCTGTTCCTGCGGGTTTGCGTCCCTCCGCGGCCGCTCCGCGGTTGTTGTTGTTGTGCAAGCGCTGCGGCTGGAGCGCCGGCGGCCGGGGGGCTTGCGGGATGCCAGGGGGTTGCTGCTGCTGGATCCCTGCAAGGCTGGAGCCCTGTCTGTCTGTCAGGGGCTCTGTGGAGTTGCCGCAGTTGGTGCAGAGAGGGGAGGAAAGGGGAGGAGACAGGACAGGACAGATGGCGGCTCAGAGCTGGAAGGGAGGGCCCTGACCAGCCCCCAGAACGGGGAGGGCAGACCACAGGCTCTGGCAGCTGGGCCCCTATTTAAGGAGCGGGCATTGGCACGAATGCAGACCTAGGGTGCCGGGCACCTTGCCTGCTACCTCCTGCATGTCCATGCATCCTTTAGCTCTGTGTGTTGGTGCACGGTTCTGGTAGGGAATGTGAGCTTTGGCCATGCCTGGTGCTGTGGGAGATGCGCGTCCGTATGATGTGCCGGTGCTGTGCAGATGGGAGCTGCGGGGGGTGCATCCTTTTGTGTGTGCTGTGTCCCATGGGTGCAAAAGTGCCTGGGCTGTGGCCTGATTGAGACACTGGCCGGGTCTGGCCTGTGCCACATCTCGGTGCCCTGCAGCCACCCCGCGCCGTGCACGGTGCCGTGGGCTGCGTGGTGGCTGTGGTGTCTGTGCAATGCGTGGCTGTGCGCCAGTTCTGATTCAGAGTGGAGATGCCATTGACTGCACATCAGCGCTGGAGATCTGGGGAAGCGTTGGAAAGGATTCAGTGATGCAGTTATTCAGGAAGCCAGTGCAGCCTGTGTGGGCATGGGAGTCTGTCCTGCTAGCTAGCACAGCCACAAAGGGGAATTATTAGAGCCATGCCAGGCTCTGTGAGCTTGTGACCTGTTAGGGTGGGATCCCACGGGGACTCATCTATCAACAGGATGGTGGATTCCCCCCCACGGAAACCCTGGGATTAGTCAAGTGGGACTTCTGAGGGCTAGACTGCCCCAGGACACAAATCTCCTGGGCCAAGGCTTTGGGAAGACCTTTAGGGAGAGCAAAGACAAAATAGAGGGGCAACTACTAAAAATACCCCAGACTGTGACCCCTCCCCAACCCTGAATCCATGTCCCAACTTCCTGACAGCCCCCAGGTTGATGGGATCAGGTGGAGAAG